GCCCGCTCCCGCACACACTTATGAAATCTCACGTGCTCAAAATTCGAGTACACTAATTAAGCGCTGCCAACTAAGTAAAGTAAGTTGCCTCATGATGAGCAGAGACCGAACCATGGGACGGAACTCCCAAAAAAGGAGCAGCACATGGCTGGTGTCGAAAAGGAGGCTGGAATGTACCTCTGCTGCTCTCTCTGTCTCCTACAGGCATCAACTTCTTTCGCCTTTGCTTCATATAATTTATGTTACATTTGCTGGCTGGCTGGCATAACTTTTCCTCTGACTCCAGCGACGATTCTACGACTCAAGGTACCGGTACGGGTACGGGTACGGGTACGGGTGCGGCTCTCTGTCAGTTAGTCAGTCAGTGGCGGGGCAAGTCACTTTGAGTTCCAAATCAAGTTGCACCCAAACCCCAAAGACCCTGCCACCACCTTGAAGAGCCTGTGCCGCTGCCGCTGTCTAAGGTGAGAAGGCAGAGAGTGAGAGAGAGAGAGAGAGAGAAGGAGCGAGAATATGGCACGTGACTTAAATAAATTGCAAAAATCTTTCTCGCTTTTCCCCAGCATCTTTCCCATAGGTATACCCGGTACTCGAAGAGTAAATAGGGTATATTGCATTTGTGGGGACCGACTCCATAAAGTATATATATTCCTGATCAGCCGAGTCGATAGAGCCATGTCTGTCCGTCCGTCTGTCCGTTTGTCCGTCTTGTTTGTCGGCTAGTTCTCAGAGACTATAAGAGCTAGAGCCACCAAATTTTGCATCCAGACTGCTATATGCTCACACTGAAACCAGTTTATTTTAAAAATGAGCCACGCCCCTATCTGTCAGATCACCAAATTGGGATCCGATTGGATCATTATTATAGCCAGAATGAAGAAATTAATTTCCAGTGGCTCTTTTTACATTCTCTCATTTATATTACATTCTCTCATTCAGATGTAGTACTGAGTGCCGGGTATAAAAGTTGTGAAGCGTCTCGCACGTCCCTTCTCGTTTTTTTTTTTTTCTGAGTGGAGTGCAGGCTGAAGGAGTCGGCAGAGGCGGCTCCTTGGCCTTTGTTGCTCGCCAAACGGCAGCATTTATGCGCTTGTGTGTGTGGGTCTGAGTGTATTTTCATGACTTTATTAGCAAGCTGCTTGAAAAGTTCCCTGGAGCAGAGCACCCCGGTTGCCACCTGTCGGCAGGCGAAAACTTTATTTTCGCACCAGCACACAGAGATGAATAAAGAGTGGGAGAGAGAGCGAAGAAGAACTGAGAGTGGGCGAATCAGAGACACATAATCAACACCTAATCAAAGTAATAGAAACTTATTGGATTAATCGCGGCACAGAATATCTATTTGTGTCGAGGCCGGGGCATCCTTTGAATACTGTGTGTGGTGGGGGTTGAGGTTGCTAATTATTCGCAGTCTCTTTTGGTAGCAAAACTGCTTCCACGAGTTCACAGCTAATCGTCAAAATTGGCAAAATCTCTGTCTGGCCAAACGATGACAGCTGTCAACGGGCCGAATGACAATGCGCGATTGCCCGATGCCCGATGCCCGATGCCTGCTGCAATCTAGCCATCAATTTTGATTAGGCTGCCATTCGATTATGATGATGTGAAGTGCCTGTGGGATGCCGGGATGCTGGGATGCTGGAATGGGTTCTATCGATAATTGAAATTATGCAACGGCTGACAGCTTTGACATGGAAAATGGCGGTGCTTGAGCAAAGAGAAACTGAATCAATTTGCAAGAAAAGTGGTTGAAGGGAGCACGAGAAAATGAAGAGACGAACCTGAAGCACCACTCGAAGGGGAATCATAAATCGGGAATTGGGAACTTCATATTCAAAGCTGCCTAAACTCCACTGCCTGCAGAGAGAATACCTCAAGCAACATACAATAGAATTTATTGAGCATATATTCAAAATCTTCATGGATCATTGAATTGAGACTCCTTGCAGCAGCAGTCCAGTCAACAGCCCAATTGTTAAGCTCAGCATAATGTTCGCATTTCATATTCAATGGCTGGGAATAATCCGCACAGCCTGCCGACAGAAACAAACCGGACCCAGAAGGCATTTGCAGTGTGTGTGTGTGTGTGTGTGTGTGTGTGTGTAGGGTGTTCGTTGTGTGTGCCCTTGTGGGTGTCATCTTGCTGCATCATCATCATTGTCGGCTCTGGCATCTTTTGGCCATGGCCATCTTTGGCTCTAACCAACAGCAGCAGCATCCCCAGCATTTTCCAGTCCGGTGTCTTCGTTGCTTGTGTCTTCGTTATGGCGTAAATGAAAAATGTATTTAGACCAAGGCATAATTATACAAATTGGGAATGCAATTAAATTTAATTGTTCCAACGTTGCCGACACTCGTCGCTCGTCGCTCTCTCTCTCTTCCACTCTTTCTCTTTTTCTCTCCTCTATGCCAAGTGTGTGTATTGCATGTGTGTGTGTGTGTGTGTGTGTGTGTGATGTGCCCCCTCCGCTCCCTTAGTCAATGAAATGTAAAAACGTTTTAAGCACGAACCTTATCTTTCTCGCCTCTGACCCCCCGCTGCCAGGGTACAAGTACGCGTAAGTACCGTAAATAAAACAAGAAGAAATTTCAACTGCCGAGCACTGGCAGGCAGTAAGAAGTGCAAACTCGGAGGAAACTATTCAGGCAAAAGGCCTAGCCTCAGTCGCAGCCAAGTCTTCGACTGCAAGACTCCAACAATATAACCAAAACAATGAAACAAAAAAAACATATTTTAATGATACATGAATGAAGGAGAAGGAGCAGAAGGAGGCAGCAGCAGCAGCAGCAGCAGCAGCTCGGAGTATAACATTATAATGAGGCACAAAAAGTGGCGAGACAAATCGCAAGACATGACCTGGCACTAACGGTACACAGAACGTGGACAGAGCTGTGAGCTGCGTAAAGAAGGGGGGAATGCCTGACCAGTGGCGTTGGCCAAAGGGGAAAGCGAAAGATATTTCGTAGGGAAAACAATCAACCATGGCTAAGAAATAGTTTTTGCATTGAAATATGTTTAAGCAAAACATGGATCTTGAAATGAAACAATTACGAGTCTCTAGAAAGAATCCGCACAAGTACAAAGCAAGAGAGCTTTCTGCTGCTGCTGCTCACCTTTACGCCATCTCTTTACTCTTTGCTCTTCTCTCTTCTTCTCTTGCGCTCTTTGCTGGCTGCATTTGGTGGCCTACTCAGAGTGACAGTTTGCTCTTATCGTGCTTGGTTTACGCGCCGCTGCACAGTGCTTGGAATATGGAGCACCCGCTGGACATGGACATGGACAGACTTAGACAGCAGCAGGAGCGGCGGGAAGATAAAGGGAAAACGAAGAGTCGGATTGTGTGGAGGGTTCGTGGCATAATATCTTAATTATTTCTTTACATGTGTTTTAATTTTTAGTAAGCACTTGCTGTCCCTCCGCCCCCTAACTACACGACTACGTCGTCGTCGGCTGCTGCCACACTAGCAACGCTTGGAATTTTAGTCACGTGCTGCAAGTAATCCCCATCACCGCCCTCAGTCCCTGCCTCCAGCAGATTCCAATGGCAACAGATGAGAACGTTCCATGGGGCATGGAGCATGTCAGGAGGAGGTGAGGGTGCGGGTGCAGGTTCGGGTTCGTGTTCGTCTCTGGCTGGCTGGCTGGCAAAGGTAAATGCCAAAGTAACTAACTGTGTATGCACTCGAGCAGCTGAAGCTGGAGAGGATTGGCAGTGGAACCAGTGCGAGACAGGCGAGAGGGCGAGTGGAAGTGGGGAGGACAGTCAGCTAACCAGCTCATTTGCAGACTTCGCTTTGCCCTGACAAGCCAACTTGTTTATGCGTTGCCCACTACAAGCAAAATCAGTTATTTCGATTAATTGGTTCATACATTTCACACACCCAGCGACTGTTAGAGACTTCCTCTAGCACAGTTCTCTCACTTCATTTCAGTTGCACTCTCTTTGACTTTCTTCGATCTTTGCCCACGCATAAACGTCGGGGAAGTGTGAAGAACCCCCGACACTTGTGCCGGAGTTTTCTCAATTACTTGGGCAGGGCCTCAGCCTCAGCCTCCGCCTCCGCCACCGCCACCGCTTTCGTCTCCGCCTTTCGCCTCAGTCTACGACGACGGATAAAATGTGGCCCTCGTTTTAGTCCATGCCGCCCGCCCTCTCTGCGTATGTTGATTAAACTTAAGAGAGCAGAGAATAGGAAACTATGGCACTGTGTGTGCCTGCGTGTGTGTGTGCGGGTGTGTGTGTCTCCCTTGCACGGCGCCCTCTGTTTGTATTAATCCAACATAATTAAGAAATTTAATTAAAGTGCAGCACGCTCTGAATGTGGAATAGCTATGCTAGCAGCTAGAAAGTTAGGTGGCGGATACGAGGCCCCCCCCACACATATTCGTATCCGTATCCGAATCCGAATCGAAGCCTGCTCATTCCTGCTGTTCATATTTGAAAAGAAAAGTTACCAAACTCACACAAAGAAACATTCGGTCCAAAATTCAAAAGTTTTTGTGTACCATAGATTCAAACAGGACGAGCAGCATGGCCATGATGCTGAAGCAGTGACCATCTGCCATCTGCTGTTCGGTGGCTTCGATCTACCATCGTTGCATGCCAAAGCCCAGGCCCAAGTGTGGCGAGACCATAAAGCATATATATATATATATATATTTTTATGCTTTATGCTTCCCACATCCCTCTCTCAGCAACAACAACACAAAGCGAAGCGTGTGAGCCTAGGCGACGCTTGCAGTCAGAGAGAGATGGATATGGAGAGAGAGGATCGCAAAGTTCTACCTGCGCTCACAGCAAGTGCGGACCATAACGGATTAACGAAATGGTCGCGTTATTCTGTATTCCATCAGGCGGAACAAAGAGGAGGAACACACAGAGGATGAAGCACTAAGCGCATGAACTTCGTATGTATTTAGTAGGCAGAGCATCTGTCAAAGCACAGAATTTATATCAGTATATGTACAGGAAACGATTGAAAGTTAGTTTAAAATTTTGTAATTGTAAATAATTTATTTTGATGTGCATTTGTGCCAGTGGCAGTATAATGTCTACCAATATGCGTTACGTGCGACGTAAGTTCCCCCGTTTCTACTTGTGGGCACCAACTCATTGACATTCCTTTGGCCTCCCCGATCTTGAATAGCAACCAGGGCCAGTAATTTGCGGGCACTGGCCAACAACTCGAGGGTGAGTTTAACCTCCGATCCATTCGATTGCAGTTTATATGCGAATATTATGCAGGCGGCCTCGAATGAATTAACGGCACGCTCCCAGTCGCCCAGCGGTTTCAGTCTGTCGCGCAGCGTTTACACGGCCCACACCGTTTACTCCATGCCCACAGAGGGCAGGTTCTCGGCGTCGTATTTTGTCTCCCTTCACGAGCAACCAACGAAGGCGGAAAGGTCAGTGTCCAAGTCGCGCACAAATAGCTCCGCAGCCAAGTCTCGTGCCTTGCCCAAAGCTCAAGTGCGCAGCGTCGGCACGCAGAGCCTTCAGACGGAATCAATTGTTGAGTCCAAGCTTGTGACCAATGACGACACCAAGAGCGCCTCGAGTCGCTTGGCCCACAATTTGCGTGAGTTGGGCCCCACAAGGCTCTGTGATCGTCTGATTTTGTTTGTTTTTTTGGCTACAGCGAACGAGTGTGTGCAGGATCTGAAGGCTCGTTGCCAGGCAGCCGTTGATTCGGGTTTCATGATGCTCTACGATCACCTGGAGCCCATCCAGCTGGCCAAGGATGAGTTCGAGGCGTGCCATCGGAAGGAGCAGCTTAAAGTGAAGCTGAAGGAGCTGCTGGTAGGACTACACCAGCTGCTTGTTGTCATCATTTATGTGTCCCCCTCTTCCATAGAGCCGCAACATGGAGAGAATTGTAGAGAGTATCGATGAGGTGTGTGGGACTGCAGGAGCTGGCGAGCAGAAGGCTTCCCCCAATAGCCATCTGTACAGTGACATTGGCAGGCTGCGGAGGCTGAAGCAGCACATGGAGGGGCGCTTCCTGCAGCTCAACAAGAATCACATTGAGCAGATGAACAGGCTCAGGGCGGATCTCGAGGGGAAGCTGCTGGCTGGCGAGAGGCATTGGCAGCAGACCCTGGGCGAGCTGCAGGAGCGGCTGCGGCACAGCGAGACGCACAGTGAGGAAACCTCCTGCCAGTTGGCCATGCAGAATGCTGCCCTGACGGCCAAAGACAGCGCCATCGAGTCGGCCAAGGCGAACATGGACAAGCTCAGCTCTCGGTGAGTATTCGAATGAACTCTGACCTCTGACATAAGCTTATCCGGGAACAGCAACATGGAGCTGAAGCAACTGGTGAAGGAATCGGACGCTGCGCTGCTCAGCATACGGCAGGAACTCGAGCGGAACAGGGAGCACATAGCCTGCCTGGAGGGGCAGCTGAACGAGCTAAAGCAGCGTCCCGCTGCAGTGGACATCCTGCCAGTCGTCCAGGAGAAAGATCAGATCATTAGCGAGCTGAAGCTGAAGATTGAGGAGCTGCTGCTGCTGAAAGACGTGCACCACGACCAAGAGCAAACTAATCTGAAGTTGTGTGCGAAGAACGATGAGCTGGATGCGAAGATCAGGTGAGGCTCCAGCTCAAACTGAGTCCCGAGTGTATGCCCATTCCGTTTCCGCAGTGAGCTGCAAGCGAAGCTCAACAGCACGAAAGCCCAGCCCAATGATAAGGACCAAAAGGACGAGCAGCTGCACTTGGATCAGGAATTCCTAAGGCAGGAACTGTTCTGCTTTCAGGCACTGGTGATCAAGTTGCGGGAGCAAGCGAGTCGCTACAGCGAGGTTGTAACCACATGCACCCACGAGATCACCGAACTTAAGAAGACCATCGATCAACGCTACTTGGAGTCCGTTGGCAAGGACACGCAGATCAAGCTGGTATCCACGTTGTAGCGTTCGTTGCGAAAGGCTCAAACGATAATTCTCCAATTCTCGTTGCAGCTAAGCAATCAGCTGCGCGCGAAGGAGGAGCAAGTGGGCCAGCTCTTTGAGAAACTGAATTGTCAGCAGGAGAAGCTCATGCGACTGGAGGAGTGTGTAAAGTTGAGCGCGGGAAACACCGAACGACACCATGTGGGTACCCAACCTCCTTCCTAGACTGATTAGCAAATCATATTTCGAATATAATTTCAGCAATAACCTGCGGGAGTACATTGCCAGCAACATTGGCACTTACGTCGAGCCACGGAATGGCCTGCAGCAGCAGCAGAATTTGCATGTTTCTATTTAGTCAATACTCTGAATAAATACGAATAATCGATCGAAAGAGAGCATCAACAGCCTGCAAGCCATAGCCCACAATCGCAGATGCGTCACTGGGTCACGCCACGTCAAAAGTTTGCTTGAAATTACAAGTAAATAATATATGCACACACATATATACACGTATGGCTGTGCACATATGTGTAGACAGAGAGAGAGAGAGAAAGCAGCAGAACTGAGATCGAACGCAGCAGAGTGATTCCGTTATGGTCCGCACTTGCTGTAAGCGCAGGTAGAACTTTGCGATTCTCTCTCTCCATATCCATCTCTCTCTGACTGCAAGCGTCGCCTAAGCTCACACGCATCGCTTTGTGTTGTTGTTGCAGAGAGAGGTATGTGGGAAGTGGGAAGTGGGAAAGAGATGCGCAAAGAAGAAAAGCTTTGCGTTTGCTTCATTTGTTTTTGTTTTTTGTGAGGGCCATTGAATATACGTTTATACGAGTATATGGCATAAAAGCGAAAGAGAGATAGTAATGGGTTCGGCTCTGTCGCGGCGACTTTCGAGCGCCAGGGAGTTGGTCCGGCAGCAGGAGGAACAGAAGAGGGTACAGAAGTCACCGAGAATGAGCATCTAATATCTACTTGGGATCAAATCCACTTTGAGGACCTACTCTATATCACAGCGGGCATGGACCTGCAGGACTCACTCTCGCTGCGTTTCCCCAAAGCCAGCGTATACCCAACACTCAGCCCACCGCACTCAACCCACTAGCAGTTGGAGTGAATTGCATATCCTTTCGCCGCTCTCATAACATCACGTTGCAAAAGTTTTCACATAAACGCAAAAGTTAAGTCATTCCTGAAAATTGTTTCTTGAATTTACTCGCGCCTTGAGCCAGGACCAAGCGTGAATAGTGGTGGAGGGGGGAGGGTGGAGCCAAGTACCATGCGGGGCACGGAAAAACATGAGCACTTTTCTTCAATGGCACTTGAGTACTCGTTCTCGTCCTCATCCTCGTACTTGTACTTGTACTTGTACTTGTACTTGTACTCCTTCCTATGCCCATTCGCATGCCAGTCCTCGTGCCAGTCCGACTTCTGTGTGTGTGTGTGTGTGTATGCCTCCAGCTTCAGCTCCTTCACTTCCCTACGAGAGTATTTACTTAGTTTTCCACGAGCAAGTTCTGGTTTCGGTCTCGACATAGGACAGATTGCTCATTTGCTTTACTTGAGGGTCACCTGTTACGGCACGTCTCGCTCTATCAAGGGTCGGCACCTCAATTAACCATTTGCCATGTCATTCATCATAAATATAGAGGGAGTAAAGCACTAAACTTACAAACTCGTTACTCGCTACTCGCTACTCGTTACTCGATTATTTACAAGCTCTGATCTGATCTAATCTTTAGCCATTTAGCCACACATTCACATTCACATTCACATGGATAATCATTATGTTTTTAGCCTGTATGCCAGCCTCCTCTCCCACTCTTCCCTCTGGGTGGACAAAAATCTCGCGGGGGACTTGGCGGAGACCCCCACGACTATGACTATTGCCCAGTTCTACACTCTGTCCGTTTCACTTTGCTGGTTTTTGCGACTGATTGCATTTTTATCCCTTTTATACACAAAAGCCATGAAATATGCACACTAACTCATGCGTATTTTATAATAATAAAAGCGCACAGTCCTCGTAAAGTGCCAAGAGATAGTTGCTGGGGGTAGGGGGTGGAAATCGAGTTGGATTTTTTGCACCCAGCTTACCGAACCCAAGCCCCAATGCAAAGACAAAAGATGCAACACAGTGGAGCTGGATGTGGAGCAGAGTGGGCGGACAGACAGGCAGGCAGGCAGGCAGAAGGTACAGACGCTGGGAACCCTGACAGGTGGCACTCCGCCCTAGCTCCTGTCCCTGTGCCAGCTGATGCTCCTGCCACCGAAGTAAATCTCTTCACACGTGCCCAGGTGGGCAACTTGTTAATGCTGCAGCTTCATCCATGGCTATGGCTTCATCCAGCTGACATATGGCAAATCGGATATGCCACCATCAGCGGCACATCCGTGGAGGATGTGGCATGTGTAACAAGGTTAGCTTAGCGGCTTACTCGGTCAAGACACCGACACTCGACTCGACTCGACTCGACTCGATTCCAGTCGACTCCACGCTGGTGTTTGTGCTTGGCATTGCGGTGGCGCTGGCATATTGTACACCTTCTGTTGGTGTAAATATTTAAGGGCCAGGCACTATCTTCGCTTAAAGTGCAGCCTAAGTCCTCGCGTGTGAGAGAGAGAGGATCAACCTTTTAGTTGGCCGCACTACCAAAGGTCAGAGGTGGAGCGGAGAAGGGATCTTGACTGCTTGTCGCTTGTATCAATAAATAAATAAAAAATAAATTTTGATTATAAATAAAGGGATCTTCGCATTGAACTTCTCGACCTGCTGCTACATCTGGGTGCACCCCTTCGCATGTCGACGCCACTGTCCTGTTTGTGCTGAGAAATTTACATGCCAAGCAGCTGCCGCTGCAAGTGGAGAGCTTGTCAGAGAGCGAGAGAGAGAGAAAGAGAGCGAGAGGCGGGCGTTGATTGCCTCGCTGATCAATTGAGGCATCGCCAATCAACCTTTGGATATGCGAAGCAGATTTCCGCTTGCAGATTTGGGCCGGGCCGATAGGCGTTATTCAATCGTATTCCCTGCACCGTTCGCCCCCCTTACAATTTGACATATTTTGTGTCACGCTTTGTTCTTCGTTGCAGTTTTTATGCCACGCGAATGGGATTGCTGCTGCTGCTGCTGGGTGGCTTAGCCATAAGGAAAACGGGCAATGGTGTTGCATGTGCAAGCTGCTTCTTCCTGCTTCTTTTTTTGATGCTCCTTCAGCTGCTTAAACGTGTTTCAAATACGCGATTTTGCAGCCAACCAAAGAATTTGGCATGCGAATTTGCATCGTCGCAGAGTGGCAGCCAGAGCGACAGTGTGGCGTGCATCGGAGAGGAAGTTGCCGCTGCAGCTGGTCTGGAATACGAATGTAAAGAATATTCGCGCTTCATTTTATTAGACATCATATAAACATGTTATACTTGCCACTACCTATCGGGCTCTCGTTGCACTCCCTTTACGAGTAGGAGTACATCCTGCGTATCCTTACTGCAGTCCAGTCCATCCTCCTGGCGAGAGGGAACATGTCGCCGTGCCGTGCCGTGCCGTTCATTTCATTTGGCTCATCCTTATCCTTGTGCCTGCCTCAAGCATATTTATTATCATGTCGAAGTGTTATCCACGAACAGAGCAGGACAAGGACCAAGACCCGGACCTGGACCTGAACCTGAACCTGTGGAGTGTGGATTGTTGGGGGGGGTTGGAGGACTGCTTGTTGCAACTGTTGTTACTCTTCATGTTAACATGTGTTCGAATCGTTAAGGCGAGAACTTTGTGCAAAATTATTTGCTACAAAACACTCGACGCTCGTCGTGTTTGCGCCTGGCTGACTGCTAACCCTCTTCTACCCCCAGCTACACATGTATATCTATAGCTGTGAGAGTCTGGGTCTGGGACTGCGACTGCGACTGGGACAACACAAACAACAGCTCATTGAGTTTTAGAAAAGTTGTTAACATGAACATTTGATGTCACAACATTGCCTCCTCGCCCCCTGGCACTCATGTGTGTATGGTCAGCATCCTTGAACAGTCGTAGCACTCGTAGCACTCGTAGTGGATCCAGCAACTGGGAGACTCTTCACAGCGGTCCAGAGTCCGACCCAAGCGTATCCATTATTGCGCCAAAAGCACCAAAAATCCTCACCCAAAAAAACCCGTTACCAAAGTTCGCTTCCCCCCCCCCCCCTCCAAAAAAAAGCAAAAAAGAAAAACAAAAAGTGGACAGGGAGAGCGCAAAAACTTTTACACTTAACAGACAAAATTGTCTACAAATTTAGTTAATTTATGTTATTTATTTAGTTAGTTATTGCTTTGCGTTTGTTGTTGTTGTTGTTGTTGCTGTTGTTGCTGTTGTTGGCACAGGCGTGGCGGAGGGGCCAAAAAGGCTTTTGTGCGCTTCATTTTTAAGCCATAAATTGTATTTATATATTGCAAAGCCAATAAATACCAGTTGATGCTGCATGGAAGCACATGGAATGTGCTTCAATATTTTAGATTTGTTTCAATTATGTTGGCCTGCTGGCAGGTTGTTAAATGTGTGCTAAATATTGTTGGGTGAGTGATTAGCTCCAAGTTCCAGACAAGCCAGATGGCAGTTGTAATAAATATATTTCATACATTTTATTTATCCCAAATTAATATCGTATATTTATTCATTTTATTGCTTTAAATTGTAGCCATTTATTTCTGAACTTGCACTCAGCATTATTTCATGTTCTGTCGTATTAGCCGTGTTTCCTTTAAATCCTTTCACCATACACACACATGACCCATAAATCCTGTCGTACACTTTCAATATGCAAAAACTACATACATATGTACATTTATGTATGTAAAATGTATGTATGTAATCCCACCTAACTGTTAGCTGCATCCTGACACCCCCTCGGGTTTCTGTGTGCCATCAGTTGGTTAAACTGCAGAGAGACCAGAAAAAAATAAATGCAGAGCAGACCTTCGTGGTCGAAAGCAAAAAAAAAACAGAGTGGAAAAAACCAAAACGGAACTGCAACAAGGGACAGACGGACAGACAACATAAGAAGCAGGAGAGCGCCAAAACCGTTAAATCAACAAGCACGCGATGATAGAATGTGAGCGTATGAGCGAGAGGGGGAGGGGGAGAGTGCGGTTTGGAGTGGAGTGTGATGGCTGATGTGTTAGGGCTACATATGTGCTAGGGTCATAAATGGAATGTGTGAAGCGCTTATGGCGTTGAGACCAATTGTCTCGATTGAGACGCACAAGCAAAATATACGCACACACACACACACACACAGAGAGATCGACAGCAGAGAAAAGCAGCGAAAGGCAAACAGAAGTCGCGCATTACACAGCACAACAAAGAT